ACGCACTACTACTACTACTACTACTACTACCTCCCTCACCCAAATACAACGCACTACTACTACTACTACTACTACTACTACTACTACTACTACTACCTCCTTCACCCAAATGCAACGCACTACTACTACTACAACTACCTCCTCCTTCACCCAAATACAACGCACGGTCACTATTGCTGTATTTAGACTGACAGATACACCCAAATAGATCTATAATGACCGTAGGTTGTATTCGGGTGAGGGAGGTAGGGTAAGATGGTTTCAGGAATCCGTTCAGAAAAGTTGCAGGGTGAGAATTTCCTTTAGCTTTCAGGGGATTCGTTCTGCTTACCTAAGGTCAAGACCTTGATTGCCATCTTGATTCTCTGAACCAGGTCACATGTGCTCCGCCAAGCCGTTCGCAAACTTCGGCCCAACTTCACCCAGCAGCCACTGACGAACAGCACACGGGCCTAGCCTGTGCACACACATACGGACGCATTGATGTCAAATGTCAGGACAAGGTCAGGTATATGAAATTCCCTTTTCGTTTACTAAATTAAAAAAAACGAGTCTCGCTGGCGCGCCGCGGCAATGGCGCGGCAGGTCGGGCCATGGTATGTCGCCCGACGGCACAAACGACCCCCAAAAAGGAAAACAGCGCAAAAAAACATTCTCGAGGAACAGGATTGAAAACGACAATGTCGGCACGAGAATTGCATGATGGGAATGTTGGTATGGCATCTCACATGCCAATTGTATCAGAGAGTGTATGGAAAGAAGAAAGAAAGAAGAAGAAAGAAGAACTCTCTCTCTCTCTCTCTCTCTCTCTCTCTCTCTCTCTCTCTCTCTCTCTCTCTCTCTCTCTTTCCTTCTTTTTTTGTGTTTTTTTTTTATCTCTCTCTCCGTTTCTCTTGTCTGTCTTAATCGGTTCTGTTATTCAGAGGGAGAACTGTCTTAATCGGTTCTGTTATTCAGAGGGAGAACTTGCTCGATGTGCCCTGTAATCAGAAGAGTGCCATTGTAGCGGGCTAGGCTACCGCCGGGCCGCCCGGGTCACCCTATTTTCCCGGGCGGCCCGGCCATGCAAGGACCAGGGAAGGGCCCTGCCAAAAGAAAAAAGGAAAAATCCAAAAAATCCGACAAAAAAACTATGTTATGCAGAAAAATAACTTGAACAACTTTTGCCTCAGGGTCACATCGAAATTCTTTACGAACTTTAAAATAAAAATTTCAATTAAAAAAAAAATTCTTTTTTTTTTATTTCTTTTTGGCCCGGCCGGGCAAGTGGACCCAGGCCACTCTGGTAGCCTAGGTAGCGGGCAATTTCTTGCAATATGTTGGCGAATGATCAATGCCTGGGACTGACATGTGGTGCCCGGTGCCGTCGACTGTCTGTCATTGTGGTAGTTCGCAGTTAGAGAGAGAGAGAGAGAGAGCGAGAGCGAGAGCGAGAGAGAGAGAGAGAGAGAGAGAGAGAGAGAGAGAGAGAGAGAGAGAGAGAGAGATGGCCGACGGTAACCGTTTGCTGGCACAGCATCAAGTCGATAGATGACCTGCCACGTCACGTGAGATAAAAAGTTTGCTGACGTGGCAAGAACTCGATCGACCTCTCTCCACGTCAGCCAGGAGCGACTCAGGGTAAACGCTTTGTAGATCTCGTGCTATGGCAGGAAGCATCGGATGACGACAAACGTTTGCTGACGTGGAAGAGAGAGAACGCGCAAGAGAGAGGGAGAGAGATTATTCTTTCTTTTTTTCGCTTTTCTTTTCTCAGCCCGAAGGTCCGCCTACTTTGGACATCCTCAGAGGTAGTGTTTGCTCCTGCTCTTTTCTCTTGTGTTTGATTTTCTCCGCCAGATATTCCACCAACCGAACCTCCTCCTGTACCGAGCATCACAAGGCCACTCACTACTTTCTACATGCCCGAGCCATGCAGTCATCAATCGTTGACAACCATATTCAAAGAACTTATTGACTACGGCGCCGCTCTTCTTGGCTCAGGGAATATCCTCTC